AGCCAACTTAAAGGCAAGCAAACAGACAACACTACCATTGAGTGGATTCTGACTCAGAGGGAGCCTATAGCTATCATAGTGAGTGTGAAAGGTCACTGGAAGGTGCAAACAATTGGATTCAATTACTAACCTGAAACGGTTGGAGATTAAACCTCCTCAGTGGCACTGCAGAAGAAAGGTCTGGTGATTAACTTACTGTACATACTTGTGTGTAAGCCGAGTTTTGAAGCACGTTTTTTATGCCGTTTTTGTGGTAAAAGTAGGTGCTTCGGCTGATATTCGTGTCAGCTTATACTCGAGTATATACGTAAATAAAAATTATAGCCTAACAATAATACAATAAGAGGGAGATTGGCAAAATAATAATAATGGGCACTAAGGGAGACACTTGGAGAAGTGCAAACATTAAACGTAATGGAAAAATACTACTATATACCAATCCTGCCATAATGATGATCTCCAAGTAAATGCTTAGATAGACATGTAGGCTAAACAGGTGTGATAGGGAGAGTGGGAATATGCCCAGAATAGATATAGATTTGACAGGGGATATTTGTACCTTTGTATTTACCTTTGTTGTAACTCAATTTATGAATGTGGTAGAGCATAGTGGGGGCAAAGTGATGAAAACCTACCAGACATAACAAACCACCTGGAGGGAATGGCTCACTTGGTCTAGGGCAGGGGTCCTCAAAGTACGGCCCGTGGGCCACATGCGGCCCACCAAGGACATTTATCCGGCCCGCCGGGTGTTTTTTCCCCGTTTGTTTTTTACTTCAAAATAAGCTATGTACAGTGTGCATAGGAATTTGTTCATAGTTGTTTTTTTTTAAACTATAGTCCGGCCCTCCAACGGGTCTGAGGGACAGTGAACTGGCCCCCTGTTTAAAAAGTTTGAGGACCCCTGGTCTAGGGGCTCAAGACCATAGTCTTGGGTGATACTAAGGTCAACTAGCATAACACAGTCCAGGAAGACAATGCTGTACATCGGACTTTGGTAAGTAGTGCTGCGGTCTCAATGGTTTGTGACTGGTCATCTAAGGTGTAGCTCTTGGTTCCTCCCTGTCCAAAGAAAAGAAGGGTGGTGAACTAAAGACACAGCAACATAGTCCCATGGGCCGATGGACTACACAATGTCAATCTCCATGACGAGAAGAAGTAATGATGCCCCGTTATCACTACCAGGGCTCTGAAAGGGATCATATTAGGTGGCTCCAGATAGAGAAGGGGCAAAATGTGGAATGAAACTTAAAATTATAAAAGAGATCAGACTCTAAGATAGATGTGGTACGGATTGTACAATTCCCCTTGATATGATTGAACTATTCAATTGTATGGTATATAAATTATGTGCCAATAAAACTATTGAAAGAGAGAGAGAGAGAGAGAGACCAGGCTTACTTATCAGATAGAGACTGGTGGAACCCACAAGACTACGGCCCTTAGTTTCTCTTCATGTCTGAAACTGAATTAACCTCCCCCTTTGCCCGCTCCCATCCATGCCTGCGGCTCACTTTTCAGCCAAACAATAGATAGGTCTATGAAGAAAATATTTATACTAGCAAGGTATACACACTTTAGAACAATCAGCTGTTTGAGATCACAATGGCAGCTTTCACCCAAAACAAAGAAGTATTAGGAAAGGAGTGGAAACAGAAAACAGAGAAGTGGGATAAATGATAATTCATTCTAGCACTGTAGTCAATGAGATGAAAACCAAAATGTGTAGGAATTATTGAATTTAAAACGTATGATCAGTTCTGTAAACCTTCACCCAATTCACACTAAAAAGTTTTAAATTTTTAATTAGAGCCCAAATTCCTTCTGCAACAGTTCTATGCTATATCATCTCGGGCTTCTAGAAGTAAGAATCAATTTGCCAGCAATGGGCTGCAGTGGGAATGAAATCTTGTGGGTTTTTTTTTATTTCCTTGCTAACTAATAACTTATGTCAATCATCTCTTTGTGTGTTTGTTGGCTGTCTTCTTGGAAGAAATCAGTCTATTGATCTTTCTAATGTTGAGTTGTAAAGAGTTATTCATGCAATTTATAGTTTTAAAATGTAGTGTACCTAACAGTGTTAAGTACACATTAGGGCTTATGCTTGTTCTCTAATACATGGCATTAAAATTTTTTTTATATTATATTTAATGAATGGGCTAGGATAACATCGTCAGCATTTGGGACAATACTTTCTGACTGTCACTACATGCAGGTATTTTTACTATACCATCATCTCAACACGTAGCACAGTTCAGTCTTATTGTCTTCAACTAGCAGCTGAGTATCTATCTAAGAGGTGAAATAACTTACCAGACATCTCACAGTGATAACAAATAAAGCTGCTTTTCTCTTTAGAACCTGTGCTCTTTAAACACCCTGCCCCCTCTGTCTCTTCAAATAGAGATGATCAAATAGAGATATCAGAACCAGGGGACTTGCTTGTCAGGCCTTGGATGCCAGGGAAATATCAACTCTCCACTCTATGTCTCATCTAAGGAGCTATAAAACCACGTATATGGTTTTTCAGTCCATGAATTAATAAAACCGATGCAAATGCTTCTTTTGCAGTGAAGTCTAGGAATATGTGTATCATTTCAATTGTTCCATTAAAAATGGAAGTGCAGAAATAGGAATACGCCTAAGTTTGTTGAACTGAAAAAAGAAAACAACTGTGATTGTGGAGTCTGGGTATGGATTACGTAACCCTGGAAGGGAACCTGTATGTGCAGATCCCATGATCCTCCACTCTTTCCTGGAGCTTGTGTTTCTGACTCCAAGCCAGGGACGGACTCATGGGAATAGCAGCCGAACACCCTCGGACTCATTGCTCCAACATGTGATTGGCGTGTGTGCTCCTGGGGCAGAGTGCACTCTGTAGTGGACACAGTGACATCTAACTCTCAAGGGTCCGGTTTCAGGTTTTATAGGCAAGGGTCTTCACCCTTCCTACCCCCAAAATAGAAGTGTGAAGGAAATCTAGTTTGGAGGGTCTTGAAACCTCAATATGAATATA